GTAGCACCCATAGAGATGCCTACTTAGAGAAAATGTCTGGAATACGTCTAGTATCAAGACGGCGTTGAGCAACATTGGAATACATTTTTTTTGTCTTTAAAACAACTAGAATATTCTAAAATAATCTTTTAAATAATCTAACAATTTTTTTATCTAAGCATTTTCTTTAAAACTGTTTGAACAACCGGCTACAAAGTGCAAGTACAAAGCATATAGTTTTCTTAATTTTTTTTTCCCTAACAAAATACCCGTCCATTTTAAATAATGTTAGCTATCGGGTTTTAATTTATTTTGTGTTTTTTTTTTAAATATTTTTTTAAAAGAGAATTCTTTCGAAGAGAACATCGCCTTAAAGTGCAGCTTTAACGTTTAAAGTGATGTGTCCTTTAAGTTCCGTGTGATGGTATCAATTTCGAAACGATTTTTAAAAGGAAAATGTGTTTAAATTTAAAAACAAGAACTTCCTTTTGAGAAGTTAATCGACATTGCCAGGAGTGTGAACAGAGGCGTAGCGACCCTTTCCGGCGCCCGGGGACAAACTTGCGATTTGCACCCCCCCCCTCCCCTTTCAATTTTTTTTTCCAATCCATTTGGCGCCCTCTAAGGTCGGCGCACGGGGACATATGTCCCCCCCCCCCGCCCGCCCCCTCCCCCCCCCCTCTCGCTACGCCTCTGAGTGTGAACGACGTTTTATATAAAGAATTAACGATTAGAAAACGACTTGATTAGTGTATATATTTTTAGATGTATAAACTGTCTTGTTTACGCTTTGGATCAGTTCTGGTAACGTTATGGTTATATACTGACTACGTTATTGGTTACCTTTTTTTTTTTTTTTTTGCATTCTTGGTCATGCTAAGCCGAAAAGTCCCGAGTTCGAATCCCAGGCAGATGAGGCTCGACAGCTGGGGACAGCCACTCTGCTAGGAGAGACAACTCCAAAATCAAAAACCTCCTGCCTTGTAGTTTGTTCTTAGTTGGACAAAGGCTATGGAAGCAAATCCAAAAAGAAAAGCAGGCTGAAATCGGAGACAACGGCCTCAATGGCGCATAACCAGTTGACACATAAAACTTAATTGTGTTGGAGGGGATCCATTTCACCACTACCAATAATAACGAAGGAGAAGAAGGGTACATTCTGGTACGTTCTTCTTATCCATTTGGGGAGATGCAGTAGTGTTCATTTGTTTCTTGACATCAGCATATGAAGTGTGTTCAACACTATGCCCAGCCGCCTTTACTTTCCCATGAAAGCTGGGTAGACTCAGGGGCGTCTTGCAGACAAAAACCCAAACTAGGATTTGAACTCGAGACTTTCAGGTGGATAGTCGAACGCTCTACCACACACCCACGCTTTTTTCGAGTAAATATACACATTTCGTTATTAAAGTATTACAGTTGGAAGTATATCAGCAAGATTATAAAAATAGAGGAAGTCATAATTTAAGTTTTGATTTATAAATGAGTAGGTAACTCATCTTCTTGTGGCATAGTCCGTCCATGTTCTTTACGGAAAGAAGAGTAGGATTTGGGGATAGGTTATGGTTTATAATCAATTTTAAGTATTACAGTTGGAAGAATAGCAGCAAGATTATAAAAATAGAGGAAATAATGATTTAAGTTTTGATTTATAAATGAGTAGTTAACTCATCTTCTTGTGGCATAGTCCTTTTATGTTCTTTTGGAAGGGAGAGTAGGATTTGGGGATAGGTTATGGTTTATAGTCAATTTTAAGATTTAGGATGTGTGTAGTTTAGTACTTGGCAAGTGATACAAGTATTTTAAAAAAATAGCCTGCAGTTGTTGTTCTATATCTATGCATGGTGGAATGCCTCATTAGTCATTATATAGAAATCTCTATATATAATTCTCTTCTGGGAGACGTTAGAAAACAAGCTGCAAGCGCGCCTTGCAGTCCCCTCTCTTCCTCTCTATCGCTACCACCCCCACCCCCCTCACATGGTCTTGTGAGCTGTGGTTCACGCTAAATGTTTACATTATACAATCGTAGAGCCGGGTTTAGTGACGCCTATTAGGGGCAGATAATTTAGTTTGAAACAATTTTAAACTTAGAGGAGGTAACTAAGAGGAGGCTGCTTTCAATGGGGGGGGGGGGGGGGTTAGTGTTTTAAAGCAAATATTTTCAGTGGCAGCATTCACAAATTATGAACTACTGAAATGTAGAAAATAAAACAACTAAATAGCGGCGTGTGATACGCCGCGGGTCGGCTCGTATACAATAAACATCCATCAATTTTTTTTCTAATTACTTTTTTTGAATAATGCGTTTCATTCGGCTGTGTGGCATTAAATGCTGACAATGTATTTTGATCAGCATAATTAGCAATGTGAGTTGGTCTTTTCATGAAAATTGGTCTCCGTCCACATGATGGCTTGCCTGTTGAGATGCTGATATGAAAACATGAACCAGACCACGTTGAAATGAAACTGTACGCTGTCGCAGATTCCTGATAATTAGACAATTAAAATTCCTGGTGGAAAAAAAAGAAACACGTTCGGGAGGTGGGGGGTGGGGGGGGGGTTAAGAGACCAAATTAGAGTATGGCACGTTAAGTAGCACTTAGTAAAGTTCCTTTTCAAACCTGACGGTCTATGGGGCAAGTGAAGTAGAGTTCACTTGTTTCTGTGACCTCATCATATGAAGGGATAGTGTGGTCAGCATTTTGCCTAGCCGACTTTACTTTCCCTAACGTGAGTTAGGTACCCATCATAGCTGAGTGGACTCAGGGACGGTCTACTAACTTGAATTCGAACTCGAGACTTACTGGTTAGCAGTCTAGCTCTTTACTGCTAAGCCACTCTGTCCCTTGGAGTAGCACTTGGTAAGAATAGAATAAATGGGGGGGGAGGGTGCGGAGAGAATGGGTAAAAAATACAGAGATTACTTAGAGAAATGAAGATGCAAAACATAAATTTTCCAATATTGACCTGCTTAAGATGCTGATATGGATCAGAATGAACGGAATGCAATCTGGTCAGAGTGCTAGATATTGAGAAATATATTTTTATATATACGAAGTATTCGTTATTGTTTATGGAAGACCGCAAATCACAATTTAGATTTATGTAGATGAGCATTCATCATCCACCCCCCCCCCCCCCCCACACACTTTTCAAGCACACTTTCAAAAATATAATAATGAAGTACGTCGTTGAAAGATCTAAATCCAAACTTTTGTTACTAAATGTAAAATTTAGTGACTCGATAAAAGCCTTTTTAGCCTTGGTGAATAAACTAGATCTAGACGTCTTCGTGCCAAACCGCCGTATCTGCTTTCTTGAGCGAGATTAAATTGACGGATATCTGCACGCGTTGTTGTTCTATTTTAGCTCTAATGCAGGGGTTCCCAAACTTTTTTTTACTCTAGAGCACATTCTAAAATATCGGTAGGGTGGCGGGCACCACCTATTTTAAATCGACAAACTCCTTCCAGAGGCGTAGCGACCCTTCCCGTCATCCGGGGACAAAACTATCGATTTGCACCCCCCCCCTCAAATTTTAGATTTGCACCCCCCCCCCCCCCCTCCCTCAAACTTTCGATTTCCATCCCCTTCAACCTTTCAATAATGTTTATGAAAAAAATTCTGTCTCTGTCGAATAGTGAGAGGCGGGCACATACGAATCGTTCGGCGGGCGCCATAGCGCCCGCGGGCACGGAGTTGGGAACCCCTGCTCTAATGTAAACAAAGGTGGAAGGCGATATTATGAGTTAGAAGATTGATGACCCGATATGAAAACATAATATACACGATAAGGTAGCTTGGTCAGTTTAATATTTGTTTTCTTACAAAACAGTTCTTATTTTACTTCAGCACAAAATATTTTCTTTCTTGTTTATTTACACCTGAAAAAAAAACAAAAAAAAAAAATCTAAACAACAATTCTAGCTTTTCATGTAAACAGATCATGAGGCGTCATAACATTATGATAGAAAACAACTACTGCAATATTTTGTTTATGTTAGTACCTCTATATTTTCTTAAAGATCGACGCTTTTATAAATCAACAGATGTTTCAATATTTTATAAAGCTTACACAACTGAAACGGCTTCGGGTTTCTTTGAAGGTTTAGTTTTCACAATTTCTCAAGCGAAAGATCAAGAAAGAAAAAAAAATTCTTTACCAGGTTTGTTAAGCGTTTTTTGTCAGCACTTCAAACGATTACAATTTGAAATTGAGAATATTGTTTACTTACATGTAAGCTTGGTGTAAGAGATGTTAATTACACAACATCTTAAACCCAGGTCAACGACTCGGTAAACAAAAAAAAATGTTGAGTTTATGCATAGGTAAAACAAATTTTGACCCTCAATACCCCTATCAATAGCAGGTGAACAGTGTAGTTTACTTGATTAGTGTCATTTTTGTGATTGTGTAAGTGTAGACTACGATACGTTTATATTCAGTCCTTATGTTTGGGAAAAGTATATGTTGTTCATATGTTTTGGGGATTTTAATTAAATGCAGTTCTTACGTTTTTAATGAAGTCATTATGTTTGGGGATTTTATATGCAGTCCATATGTGAAGGGATTTCATATGCAGGTCTTACTTTTGTGGATTTTAAACGCAGTTCTTATGTTTCGGGCTTTTATATACATTCCTTATATATGATTGCTTTATATGCACAGTTTATGTTTAGAGACTTTAAATGCAGTCCTTATGTTTGGGGATTGTGTGTGCAACCCTTGTGTTTGGGGATTTGATATGCCGGAATTTTATATGCGGTTCTTTTGTTTGGGTATTGTATATGCGGTTCTTATTCGTGGGGTATTGTAAATGCATATCTTATGGGTGTGGTTTTTATGTTTGAGGACTTTATATGCACATCTAATTTTTGATGATTGTAGGCCTACATGCAGTTATTAGGTTTTGGGACTTTATATGCACATATTATGTTTGAAGATTATAGACCTACATGCAATTCTAACTTTTGAGTCTATTTGTTTGCTAGAATTAACTATGTTGTTCTGTCTACAGGTTGGCTGTTTGGTGCTTTCATGTGTAAGGCGGTGCCGTACCTGCAAGGGGTCTCTGTGAGTGCTTCCGTCAACACCTTGGTAGTCATAGCAGTGGACAGGTGAGATATATACCTTTATTTACCATTTACCTGTACAGGTGAGATATCGACCTTTATTTACCATGTACCTGTACATGTAACCACATGTAAGGAGACTCTAGTAACCACATGTAATGAGACATGCAACCACATGTAATGAGACATGCAATCACATGTAATGAGACATGCAACCACATGTAATGAGACATGCAACCACATGTAATGAGACATGCAACCACATGTAATGAGACATGTAACCACATGTAATCAGACTCCTGTAACCACATGTAATCTACCCCTGCACTTTTGTTCTGTAATGCATTTTAAACATAAACCACTTTTACTAAACACCTTTAATATTAAAGCCCCAAACATCTTTAATAGTAACGACCCTAACACTTTTAATATTAACGACACAAACACTTAATAATAACGATCCAAACACCTTTAATAATGATGACACAATAATAAAAAATGACACGCCTTCTTTACCACCACCACAGTACACAGTACTCAACAGTTTGCACGTACGCAGAGAGAGAGAGAGAGAGAGAGAAAGTGAGAGAGAGATAGAAAGAGAGAAAAAGTGTCAACTCGAAAATATTTGCTGAAAAAACAAATGCCATAATCTAGGCTGACATTTAAAACACTTGAAATAAATTGCGAACAACCAAGAAGCCATGACGATCAAGTGGTATTAGGACCAGACCTTAAATGTCAGTACACTCCATCCTTTATTTAACGAAGGCGTCTCATGCGGTCTATTGAATTGTATTCTCAAGGGTTTAGTCGTAGGATAAAGTAAAATATCGTTATTGAATTCTCTATTGCTTAAACACAATGTTTAAATTTTTTTTTTCAATTAGTGAATCCTAATTATATTCAATTGATTCAATTACTAATTAATTGCGTTAAGTGAATTTCTGGTTACAATTATTTCAGTTAAAAAATATTTTTTTCTTTGAAATTAACGGTTGATATTTAAAACATTTATTTTTATTCACGATCGTAAATGGCCAGATAATGTTATAGTGTCGGGGTCAACACGACATGAAACAGCCACACCAGAGGCGTAGCGAGGGGGGGGGGTGCGGACCGCACCGGGTGACACCATTTAGGGGGGTGACGCCAAGGCGAAAAATAGCAAAATATATAGAGAAAAACTTGAGGGGGTGCAAATCGAAAGTTTGAGGGGTGGGGGGAGGGGGTGCAAATCGAAAATTTGAAAGTTTGTCACCGGGAAGAGTCGCTACGCCTTTGGGGGGTGACACCATTAAGTGCCGCACCGGGTGACACCCGACCTCGCTACGCCACTAAGCCACACTAACTGTTGTAACTGGGATTAGCATCTGATAGGGATGGAGCTGAGACGAAATATATTTTTAACTTTGAATTGTAGTTATATCCATACGACTATCTTGTTTAATTGTAGGTTAGATAGATCATAATAGGGTTGGTAAGTAGGTCGCCAACCAGTTCTATGGCTCATGTAGGTTTTATTGAGCCGTAGAGCTGTTTGGTGTCCTACTTACCAGCCCTATAGCTGCAATATGAATAGTTCTCTGTGTGTTTGATTTCGCGTCCCGTTACTAAATACAAGTTTGAATAGCTTGTAGTTGCCACAGTCGTACAGGTTAGAGTTTATGTAGATCTAGGCACAGGTTAGGCGCCCCGTCCCTCTCGGGACCAGTGTTTCTGCTCTGGGGGGGAGGGGCACTTGAAATATTCGGGGGGGGGGGTGCGGACACTTATATTTTCTATATAAATTTCTTTTCGTTCGGGGACAGAGCCCCCCCCCCCCTGAAGAGATGCCTGGAAGAAACTCTGCTCGGGACCGCAGGGGTTGGGTTACCTTAGGGTGAGGCCGAGAGAATGAATGAAGTTAGTTGAATGCTAGACTTGTGATCGTATGGAAGTGTGTGGCAGAACTGTGTTTTTCTATATCCCAAGTATATTAAAGTCTCGAAAATTCTACGTCTGTTGCTATTATTTGATCAGATCGTCACGGCGGCTATAATAACCTGTCCTTTTTACTTTCTCGAATACGAATTATAGTGGTAGTATTGTAATCGTGCAAAAAAAAAATCGAGATTTTCAAAGATTTCGAAGTTTTACACCTCCCTGATAACCGTAAGTGGAAATTATTCTACTTTCAATTTTTCAAAAAACCTATAACTTGAGCACTGTTTCAGATAGATAAATGAAATTTCACATGTAAGTAAAAGATCTAATTTTCTGCCTTCCTTCAGACTTTTGAGTTATTTCCGTTGACCGGAAGTAGTAATTTACGCTATTTCCAATTTCTGAAAAAACGCATGTGAATTTATAAAGTACTAATAATATTCCGTACTATTATACACATAATGTTTGGCGTTCACTTGGTGTGCAATTCTTTTTTCTACGAGATTCTATTCTATTTTTAAAAGTTTAAGTAATTAAAAATGGATTAAAAACATTGTCTATATCCCGAGTTGCCATCCCCAGTAGTTTTATATAAGAATATTCGAGAAAGTTTATGAGAGATAACTCCCGGTTTATTTCCTAAATTATCACCCAACCACTTCACCACACTGCAGCCATCAACGCCACCACTTTACGGCGACCTCATAACACTAACTTAAAGACATACACTTCATGACCTGGTGTATTGTGTGACGTTCATCACCTACATCAATCATACTCCAATCAAGCCAATCAATTCAGCTTTGACAGAACCCATACAGGCATGATACGATACGCATCATATCAAATTACACGTAGAGAGATATGCCAAATACAAAACATATGTGACAACTATTATGGAAATAAATATAAGGTTACGATAACTTCAACACACATACAAAGATTAGAATCGGAGGTACAATGTTTCAAATATCTTTCAGTTTGAATTATAACATTTTTAAAAAAATATATTTAATATGCAGTTTTTCTAAAAAAAAATTCAGATGGAATATTAATGAGCTATTGTAACAGTTTTTGTAGAATAAATAAAAAACTCGGTTAATTATTCAAATACTAAGTACAGTAGGATCAACCTAGTTGTTATCCTTAACGAAAAATAAAATAATCTCCCTTCTTCAATTAGAAAAAATAATAATTAAAAGTTAATATTATTTAAAAATATATTTATTTTAATATACAGTTTTGTAAAAACAAAGTCAGATGGAATATTAATTAGCTATAGCAACAGTTTTTGCAGAATACGTACTTATAAATAAACTCGGTTAATTATTAAAATACTTTTTCCAGTCGTAATATCACCCTTAACAAAAAATAAAATTATCTCCCTTCTAAAAAATATTTTGGTTATTTCAACTTGTTAAGAGAACGATGGATTGCGTGGCGCGGCGTGGATGTTTTCAACACGTTGAGCACAAATGTTGATCATTAGGAAACAGCGTCGATCTCTTCAACAAGATATTGATAGCTCAAGCACTACGTATCCCATTCAACACATTTTTTACAGGATCTAATGCGGCGATTAGGATGGCGGTGCACTGTAAGCGAGATGAGAGTTGAAAAAAAAAACAGCCACTTGAAAAAAATATTTCTTGAAAGGTTTTTCCCAAACCGCTACCTTCCCTCTTCCTAAATAATTTTTTTGTTATATATGCTATCATGCCGTAAATAGACGCGCTCTATAAATTGGCCAGACGTTTAATGGCCATCTGCATGGAGGCCACTTCACAGCTAAAACGGAAGCTGACATCATTTAACATTTGCTTGGGTGTCAGCACAACAAGTCTTCGTCTTCTTCTTCGCTCTTTAACTCTAACGTTGGACGGGAATTCCTCCATCAAAATTGAGTTTTACGTGTCAACTTGTCATGTGTAATATAAACAGTTGACTCATTTTTCAGCCTGCTTTTTATTTTACAGTGGGTTTTTTTTTCTGGATTTGCTTCCATAGCCTTTGTCCAAACAAGAACAAACTACAAGGCAGCAGTGGTTTGATTTTGGAGTTGTCTCCCCCCTCCCCCCCCCCCCCTCGAGATCCCCACCGATTTTGCCTAATGGCGTCAATGTGTGCGAACATTTCATCAATCCACTTGTTAATTCATATGAAAAAGCAAAGTTTTCAATGAAAATTAATACATTTTGGTGTCACCCCCTCCCTAGTTGTTGATTGACTTATTAGGTATAAAACTTAACAAACTTTTTTTTCCTCTGTTCATTTTGCAGCGGGTGTCACCCCACTCACTGTGATAGTTTTAAAGTGTGCACAGTTAATAGTAAAGATGTATTTCTAAATTCAGTTATCAATACAGGTGGATAAATTCTTAACTATCTATATATATAATTCTCTTCATGGAGACCACGTAGCTTAGCCACCACCCTAATCCCCACCTGTCAGGTGAGCTGTGGTTCACTCCGAATGTTTACAATAGTAGAGCAGGTTCAAATACGTGACGGCTATTAGGGGCAGATAATTTGTTTGTAAACGATTTGAATCTAAGGGGAGATAAGTTCTGCTTCATATTTTCATTGTCGTCTGTAAACGGCTGCTTTCACTGGGCGGTGTGGAGTGGGGGAGGGGGAGGCAGGGGGAGGGTAGTGTCGAATTAACAAATAATGAACTGTTGATAAGTAGAAAAAAAAAACTAAATAGCGGCGTATGCTACGTCGCGGGTCAGCTCGTTAATCATTAATTGAACTGCCAAATGCAACTTTCTTTTTTGCATTTTTTTCGTATAAATGGTGTCACCCGGTGCGGGTTGCACCCCCCGCCTCGCGACGCCTCTGATATCGGCGTATGAAGGGATACTGTGGTCAGCACTATGCTCTGCCAGCTCTCTACGATAGAAAATAAGCGAAATGCACCAAATACCCTACTTGTAAATAATCATTATGTACAGGTCTCTGTTTTAGAAGAAAGTTTACTGTAAAAAGTATTATGTACCTAGTTCTCTGCTCTAAAAAAACTAATGTTTGACCCGAGTTCTTCAATAAATATAGACATGACATGTTAAACTATCATAATTTGATACTCATATTACTTTAATAAACAAGAAACAGACCCTC